AAAAGGATTCAATTCTAATGGGAGACTGACTAAAATCTTTTCTTTCCAACTCTAATTTTTTTTGGAGTCATCGTTAGAAAACAATTTGGTATTTTATGAATTCAATAAAAATACACATTAATACGATATTAACCATGAACTCCGTATTTTTATGGCTTAGAACAAAGCTTCACAAATAAGTATTAAAATGTCTAATTACTACCCTATTTCAAATAAGATGCAGAGATTCCACATCAAAATTGGTCAGGTATCTACAGTCCAGTTGCACTAATTCAAAGAGACCAAAATCAGGTTTCACCAAAAAAAAAAAAAAAAAAAGTATGGTATAATGAAAAGATTTTTAAAGAAGATCCAAAAAGAACAAATGATAAAATAATCATTTCAATGTACCAGTATGGAATAAAGCAAACTCCAGTCACTTCAAAACAAAGAAATGAACGATACCTGAAATATCCTCCTCTTCAGTTTTACCCTTTAAAATCCTCTTAAGAGGATCTCAAGTTCCTGGGACTGAAACTGACTTGAAAATGATTTTGAAACTGATTAGGGAGGAGCCCACCACAGCAAGAGCAGGACCCGGAGGTCAGGACCTGGACTCTGCACCTGGATAAAGGTAAGACCCTTCACCTCTCTGAGCTTTGGTTTTCTCATCTGTAACATGGGGATTACAGGGTCCCTGTGCAGATGAAATGAATGGATGCAAGGAACGCACTTAGAACACTGCTTGGCACACGCTGACCGCCTCCACCGCTGGCTACGTGCTGAACCCCACAGGGAACAAGGCTGCCCCCAAGCAGCTCCCAGGCTAGTAGAGCAGGTAAGGCCCAAAACACAGGAATCATAGGAAACAGAAGACAGTAAGAGGGGGGAGAACAACAGATTCTTATCATTTGAAGATGTTAACATCCATGGTTTCAGGAATTAGTAAGCCATTCAAAGGGCCCACTGGATTATTCTCCCAAAGATGCAGTGAGAAATCTTAGAGGGTTAAAGCAACACGCACTTATCATCATACAGTCGGGGGTCAGATGTCTGAAATGGGTTAGCAGCACTGGGTTCCTTCTGGTAGCCCTAAGGTGGGATGGATTTGCTTGCCTTTTCCAGCATCTAGAAGCAGCCCACACTCCTCAGCCCATGGCCCCCCCATTACCCAACCTCTGCTTTCATCAGGACACCTTCTTCAGACTCTCCTGCCTCCCTTTTCTTTATAGGGACCCTTTGTGAGGACATTGGGTCCACCTGGACAAGCCAGAATAATCTCATCTCAAAGCCCTAACATCATCCCATTTATAAATTCTGTTGTGTACCATATTCACAGGTTCCAGATTAGGACATGGGCCAGGCGGTGGGCGGGGGAGGGGGGGTCTGTTACAATTTGGAAATGTGGTGATCTGTTACAATTTGTGAGGTACAGATGTGAACACAGGACACACGAAAAGCTGGTCCTCTGCAGTGAGTCACTGCTCAAGGCCAGTGGCCAACTACCAGCATCTCACACACACTGGAGCTTTGTTCTTGACAGCTGAGGTCCCCTCAAGTGATTTTTAAAACTGGTTTCCCAGTGGAAAACCAACTCAGAAACAAGAACAACAAGAGTCTACTGCTGGTGCTAGAAATAAGATAAAAGTAAAGATTAGGAAGGTGATGTGTTTGGTAGAAAGCAAGAGTTTTAAATACATTTTCAGTTATGCCTTTCAGCATCATATGGAGGAATTTACATGCTATAGTAAATAGTCATGCATTTTATTGTTTCTTAAAAAGTCAAAGTACCATCTGCCATGCCTCTGCAAAATTATCCTGTGGGTATTCCGATTATACAGTACAGTGGTTAAAAGGATTTGAGTCATAAAGTTCTGGAGTCACAGAACTTAACTAGTCTGTTACATTAGATAAGTTTTGGCCAAGGCTCAGGTTCTCCACCTGTAGAATTCAGAAATAATACTATCCTCATGGGGTTATTGGAACAGTTAAATAAATAATGCATATAAAGCACTTAGTGCTCTAAATGAGAGTAAGTGATGACTGTTAGCTGCTACTGTTAGTCTCAGTACTATGGGTACGGGGGGAGCTCCATAATTTTTAACAGCTTCATATACCATACAATGTGCCCATTTAACATACATAAACCAAAGATTTTAGTATATTCATAGATATGTGTAACCATCACCACAGTCAATTCTAGAACATTCTCATTATTTCAAGAAGAAACCCCTTATTAGCTATCACTCCCCACACACCCCCCCCCTTCACACCTTAGCCCTAAGCAGCCACTTACCTACTTTCTGTCTCTACAGTTCCTATTCTGGACTTTCATGGGAGTGGAATCATATAGTATGCGCTCTTTTGTAACTGGCTGCTTTCACTTAGCGTAATGTTTTCAAGATCCGTGGATCAGTACAGTAGACCCTTGAACAACACCGGTTTGAGCTGCACAGACCCACTTAAACATGGATTTTTTTTTTTATACACTATTGTAAACATTTTCTCTCGTGATTTTAATAACATCTTTTCTCCAGCTTACTTTACTGTAAGCATACAGTATGTAATACATATAACAAAATATGGTAACTGGCTTCCCAACAACATATTAGCAAAGTTTGGGGCGGGGGGTCAGTTATACATGCATTTTCGCCTGCACGGGAGGTCTGACTACACAAATTTAGACTGCGCGGGCACCCCCAGCCCCCACATTGTTTAAGGATCAACTGTATTTTATCACTTTCTATGGCCGAATTTAAGCCTATAAAATATTAGGTCATGACCAGTGCCCTTAAGCAAACGCTGCAGGAAGGATTTAGAGGACAGAGTACTCTCAAGATAGAATTAAGAGTGGGACCCTTTGCGCTGGGCTGTGCAACCTTGCTTCCTACGAGCTGTATCACGTTGCTCAAGTTACTGGACTATTTGTGCAAAATGGGGATTTCTTCAACAAACACTTAAACAGAACTTGCTAAGGGCCAGGCACTGTTCTCCCCGAATCCTTGCAGGAGCTGTGCAAGGCAGATACTCTCGTCACTACTAACATTTTTGCAGGCAAGGTAACGGCGGAACAAAGCCGGTAAGTCACTTCCCCGAAAACCCAGCTAGTCAGCGGCCGCGTTATAAGACTCCCACCCAGTGTGCCTCCAGTTCACAGCTCAGAACACCGCGAGGCAGACTCCGTGAGTTACTCGCCCCAAAGTGCTCAGAACCGCCCCCGGCAGCTAAATGCCGGTACCAGCGAGCGGCCCGCGCCCCGTGCACCGGGGGCTCCCATTCCTGCCCGGCCCGACCTGGAGCTCGCAACGCCCAACAGCCTGCCAGCCCCACACGACGCCCGCACCCGCCACCCCCGCAGCCCTCCACCCGCGCCGGCTCACCGCCTCCTCCCTCCATCGCGAGACTTCCTGCGGCTTGAGGCGGGCGGGCGGGCGGGGGGAGGGGGCGGAGGCGGGGAGAGGGGAAAGGGTGGAAATCCGGAAGTGGGCTCTACCATCTTCTCGGGGCGGGGGTGGGACGGAAGGAGAAAGTAATGCTGCAAGTAAACGAGTTCCTCGTTGGGGACCCACTACCCAGAAACTCCCCATTGTACAGCTCTGGCAAATGAGTTCCCATCTACTCTTGGCTTGTGGCTTTTAACTTCCCGTCCGTGTCTTCGAACTTCACCCTCCCCCACAGCTTCCTGGATGATAGAAGTTTCCTAAGGCTTCTGATTCCAGAAGGTACTGTCTGGCGTCAAACTAGTCTCGGGTGAAAAATAAGTCTCATGCGTTCCGGACTGCGCATGCGCGCATTGTTGCGTCCTCCCGCGAGCGGAAGGCGTGTTCTCGGTTCCGGCGCGGTGTCCACCGGTTGGGGGAAAGTAACCACTGCTGCTGCACCATGGCGTCGGTCGGGACCCTCGCCTTCGATGAATATGGGCGCCCTTTCCTCATCATCAAGGATCAGGATCGCAAATCTCGTCTTATGGGACTTGAGGCCCTCAAGGTAACAGGACGGACGCTGGCGGTGGCATGGGAGGAGGTAGCCAAAGCCCGTGGCTCTGCGCCTGCGCACGCCTGGGAGCGGTTCCGCCATGTGCTCCCCGGAAAGGTCGGGGACCCCGTCTCGTCTCCGGCCCTGCACCCCGCTTCTTGAGCTGGGACGAGGCCGGCGTGGAAGCCTTTAATCCCAGTTTGGGGTTTGGGGTGGAGCTGCTGGCGCCCGTCAGCGTTGGGTGGGGCAGTTCAGTGCCTAGGCTGCGAGCCCGCCTCCGATGGCTTCTCCGGCCCCTGGTCGTTCGTACAGAGTTTCCATCGGGAAGAGGCAGGGAGGGTATTCTCTGGTCACCTGGCCAGGGAACAAGCCACAGCCCCCAAAGGATGAGGCTCCCTTTCTTTGTCACTTCTTAGAGGCTTAGTCGTTTGCGAAGTATTTAATTTCTCAGCACCTTTATACATGGCGTGATGGTGGATGTGGTGTCGTGAAAACGAAAACCGTGTGCCCTTAGAGAAGAAAATACCACCGCCAGAGTGGAAGGTGGACACCCATGACCATGATGCAAGGAATACGAGGCAGCGTGTGGATGCGGATAAAAGGTGGAGGGTGGCTTTTGATCAGAGATGGGATCACTGTTCTGAATGTGGCAGAGGTAGCATTTGGGGGAGAGGGGACAGCAAAGGCAAAAAGCTGGGCAGGAAGACGCATGGCGCACTGTGGAGGGAAAGAGCAGTGTGGTTTTCGATGGAGCCCAGTCTCGTTCAAGTCAACAGCAGTTCCCTGAAGGTGGAAGCTTCAGTGCCTCGCAGTCAAGATGTTAAACCCTGGGAGGGAGGGGAGCCAGTAAGGGGGTTTTGAGCAGAACCGCAGTTCAGGTAGAACTGTACTTTAGGAAGTTGGGTCTGGTGGACGAAAGGGAACAGGAGGGACCAGAGGAGTTAAACCAGGAGCAGGAGTCCAGGTGAGAAAGTCATCTGAACACAGATGTTGACAAAATGCAGTGGAAGCTTTGAGAGGACGCGGACTTTCTTAGGGTTTGTTAAAAGTGAGATCACATCTCCAGGGCTGAGGTGTCTCAGTTCACTTGGCGTCTTTGTATTTTAAACAAGTGAAGAAGCCATACAGTCGTCACTGTTTAAACAACGTCTCCGAACCTCGTTTCTCAGTGGGGGTAGTACACCTCCCTCAGGCTGAGGATGAGGGTTACGTGGGGTCACTTCAGGAGGGACCATGGTTCAGGGAGGTGGTGCAGCTTGTCAGTGAAGAAAGGGGCCAGGATTCAAGCACACCTCTGGCTGACCCCAGAACCAATGGTCTAAAGCCAGAGTTCTCAGCTTTGGCATTGTTAATATTTGGGGGGCCAGATCGTTCTTTGTTTGCGGGCCTGTCCCGTACAGGACGTTGAGCAGCATCCAGGCCTTTACCTACTCCGTCCATGCCAGTAGCAGCCCCCACCCCATTTGTTACAACCAAAGATGTCTGCAGGCCTTGCCAGATGTCTCCTGAGGGACAAAATCATCCCTGGTTAAGAACTGCTTATCTGTGATGATGATCCTTTAAAAATTCCGTTACACAGACAAATCCTTCAATGTGTATTTTAATGACCAGCATTTTCACAGATCCTATGAAGTTTCTGTTTTCCTACCTGCCAGATGGAGTGACCGGGAAGTCTTCACAGAACATGGGCATTTGAACTGCTTTGAAAGTTGGGATTTTGATGAGCAGAGCAGCTTCTCTGCGCCGTACTGCTTCAAGGAACAGAGGACATATTTGGGGAACAAGCAGGGACCATCGTCACTGGAAGGGAAAGTAGCTCTCAGGTTGCGGAGCGCATTAAAGAAAACGCTGAAGCTTTCAGACTTCAGTGTTGAGGCACTAGGGAGTCATTTAAGGTTTGCGGACTAGCAAATGGCATGTTTGAGAAAAATGGATGGGTTAGCTGGATGTCAGATGAATCTAAAGGATAGGAGTACATAAGAGACCCTGGATTTCTGTAGGGTGCTGTGGATCCAGGTTAGGTTGGTGACAGCGAGACTGGGAGCAAAGGGACATTTGGAGGGAAAATGAGCCTGGTTGTGGCACAAACAGGAAGGGATGCTTGCAAGTTTCCATTACTTTATTGATACTCTTGGCACATGACAAGGGTGATTTTTCACATGTAGGCCATGTACTGGCCCGACCATGGAAGAGAAGGGTACATTTCTGCAGTACACCGTAGTGTGATAGTTCAAGGTGCTGTACATGTGCATCTGGACTCTTCGTATGAGGTTAGCATTGCAAAGTGGTCTTCCATGGCCTGCCCGGTCAGACTGCCCATGCTCTCAGCTGTAGAATGGGGCAGGTAGGAGAACCTGCCTCGTAGATGTGCTGAGTTAAAGCACTAGGTTCTGCTGCTTTTACGTGAGAATGGTTTACTAAAGCTGGTGGTTGTGAAGGTTACCACACTTACTTAGATTTGCGTGTTGCCACTTAAATGTGAAAGCTTCTAGAGAACAGAAACTAGAAGTAGGTTTTATAATCATTAGTTGTGTGCTTTTAACTATTAAAATACATAATATGAATATTTGTGTTTTTGTTTCATTTTTTTTTAAAGAAGCTTATTTTGTATGTTTCTTTCCTGTTTTTAAGATATTATTTATTTATTTGACAGACAGCGACAGAGGGAACACAAGCAGGGGGAATGGGAGAGGGAGAAGCAGCTCCCCGCTGAGCGGGCCTTGATCCCAGGGCCCTGGGGTCATGACCTGAGCCGAAGGCAGACGCTTAACCACTGAGCCACCCAGGCACCCCTTGAACATTTGTTTTTTTCTGTTTGTTTCATTTTTCAGTCTCATATCATGGCGGCAAAGGCTGTAGCAAATACAATGAGAACATCACTTGGACCAAATGGTAAGAGACTACCATTCTGTGTTTTTTGACGAATGTTATCAATTATAGACAGTTGATACAACCCTTTTATAAAGTTGGGACGTGGGGCAGGTGACATCCTAGGTCCCCACCACTAACAAACTTGTTTTGTGTATTCCGGGCTTTCAGCATGTTCACGATCATAGGTGCATATGGTTTTACGTCAGGGTTTTTTTCTCCCTTTTCACATCACTTCATTAGCATTTTCCACATTGTAGTTGTCCCTTTTTATGATTAATACGACATTTAGTGATGCTCCTTTTTTTTCTCCCATTTCTCTGGCTTTAGCCCTTTAGATTGCTTCCAGCGTCTTGCTTTGTATTCGCCAACCTAAAAGGATGTTTGCATGTAGATACTCTTTTATGTATGTTAAATTTCTATAACAAGTTCTGTAAGTAGGAATTGGGTCAAGAGACTAATTTTTTTTTTTAGAACTTTTGGTACAGATTTTGTTTCTGTTCTTTTGCCTAATGCCATTATAAACATTGCCATCTTTCTAGGACTTGATAAAATGATGGTGGACAAGGATGGCGACGTGACAGTGACAAATGACGGTGCCACCATTCTAAGCATGATGGACGTCGATCACCAGATTGCCAAGCTAATGGTGGAGCTGTCCAAATCACAGGATGATGAAATTGGAGATGGGACCACGGGGGTGGTTGGTAAGAAAGCAAAATAGTCTTTCTAACGCCCTGTTCCAGAAGTATTAAAATCACACACACCTGCCAAGAATGTTTACTCTGAATCAGATTGTGAGGAGACTGTCATGCAAATCCAGGTTGAAGGACATGGCTTAATATAAGGCCCAAAAGTCCTTTTCCTGGAAGAACAAGAAGGGGTTGGGGGAGCATTCAAAAACTGTTCTAAATCAAGGGAGCCAAAGCGAAATGGCACGCAGCTGTAATGCATAACTCTTGATTGGATGTGGGTGCTTTTTTGTTTTCTTTGTTTTTGTTTTAACTGTGAGGGATGTTTGGGGTACATGGAAGGATTTGTGGATTGCGCATTGCAGAGTAGCACCCCGTTAAGTTTCCTGAGCATGACAGTTACATTATAGTGCTATAGGAGAATGCCCTTGTATTTGGAGCTGGATGCTCAGATACTTAGGGGTGACATATTATGATTTTTGCAACTAATTGTCACGTAGTTGAACAGAATTACATGTGTGCCTTCGTAGAGAAAACAAATGTGGCAAAATGGTGTTAGTAAACTATTCATTTTACTATTTTTGTACTTTTCCTGAAGGTCTGAAATACTTAAAAAGTTGGGGAAGGTGGAAGATGGAAAGAATTGTTTTAATGTTAACCTTTTCTGCAGATGAGATTTGAATTCATTTATTCAACAAATATTTATTGGGTACCAAGCACTATTATGGATGTGCTTGGCGTGTGGCAGTATTAAAACAAACAATATTCTTCCTCTTTGTGACGCTAAAACAAGGGGGAGGGAAGATGGTGGGGAGGATAAGTCGTAAGTTCTTAAATCTTCTTACCACCCAGCAAATTTTACTGAATAGAAATCCCTGGCCTGGGAGGGGC